CCCATCATTGGTATTAGTGGGAGGAATAGTGCCCCATTGTCAGTGGGAGGAATAGTGTCCCATTATTGTCAGTGGGAGGAATAGTACCCCATCATTGGGGTCAGTGGGAGGAATACTGCCCCATCTTTGGTAACAGTGGGAGGAATAGTGCCCCCTCATTGGAGTCGGTGAAGGAATAGTGCCCCATCATTAGTGTCAGTGAAGGAATAGTACCCCATCATTGGTGTCAGTGAAGTAATAGTGGCCCATCATTGGTGTCAGTGAAGTAATAGTGGCCCATCATTGGTGTCAGTGAAGTAATAGTGGCCCATCATTGGTGTCAGTGCAGGACTTATTGTCCTGCTTTTGGTGTCAATTGAAGGAATAGGGACTCATATCAATGGTGCATGAAGGGCCAGATAAAAGTAAGAAAAGGGCCGCATCTGGCCCCCTGGTCCGCAGTTTGGAGACCACTGCTTTAAATGGTCAATTTATCAGACCAAAAGGAACCATACATGAGAAATTTATTAATAGGGTTTAATGATTCTCACGGCATTGAAGCAACACTTTTAGAAGTGTATACCACAAGACCAGACTGAACTTACTGACACTGGTGGTTTCCTAATTTTCCTGTCCTCAAAATCATCTGTCAGTGCTAACTGGATTTATGTCACCATCTGGTCTTATGTGGCTGTATGTGTTTAGAACATTTACAGTGACAGTCAAACAAGCCTAAGAAATTTGCAAACATGGTTGAAACTCTATTCAGTCTGTTCAAACAAGCTCATGTGATGCATCCCTTACACTAGCCTTAAAGGGTAAGTCTACTTCCGTGACAAAAAATAGCAAAGAAAAAAAGTGTGTGTGTGTGTGTATATATATATATATATATATATATGTGTGTGTGTGTGTATCATATGCAATTGCTGCACAAGTCATATATTGTAATTGAATGCTATTAAAAATCACCTTTCCTTTTCAATCTGCTGTGTTGCCATTTTCTGTGAAACGCAGTGTCAAAACCTGAAGGTGTTTTGTACGCAGATGGTGTACCCCCCCCAAAAAAAAATAATAATTTCTTGCTTGTGTGATTGCCTCACTGATTACAAGTCATATTTGGGCATCCCCTGCAACAAAAATGTAATTTTTGGTGAGATACTCCCAAAGGGAAATCACGTCGACAGGGATGCAGACCCTGACACTTTCCCCATTAGAACTCTGCTGCAGGTGCAGCAGTTGATTGATAATAAAGAAATCACTTCCATTCACATTCATTTTGTACGTGGACACAGACAAACAGCTATTTCTTCAGAATAACAAATGGTAGGAATCTGCAACAACATATGTTAAAATCCCTGCAATGTACAGAGATCACCCAGAGGGGAATGTTTTTTTTTTCTCAACAAAAGAGGAGATACTCACCGCGTGAAGACCAGGCCTTTCTGACACTATTTGTTTACATGTACAAATCTGTATTTTTTGCCAAAAAATTACTTAAAACCCCCAAACATTATATATTTTCTTAAAGCAGAGGCACTAGAGAATAAAATGGTGGGTGTTGCAATTTTTTCTCTCATATGATATTTGTGCAGCGGTTTTCTAACCAATACACTTTTTTTTTAAAATTTTAACACACAAAAACACAATATAATGCCCAATTATTTGTTAAAACCACTTGCCCTCCAGAGGATTTACCCCTCTTCCTGACCAGGCCATTTTTTTGCAATACGGCGCTGCATTACTTTAACTTGCAATTGCGTAATCATGCAACGCTGCACCCAAAAGAAATTTGTCATTTTCCCCACAAATAGAGTTTTCTTTCAGTGGTATTTGATCACCTCTGCGGTTTTTTATTTTTTGCGCTATAAGCATATAAACAAAACAAGATTTTAAACTTTTTGCTATTAAACATGTCCAGTAAAAAAAAAATAAATAAAATTTCTTCATAAATTTAGGCCAAAATGTATTCTGCGACATGTCTTTGCTAAAAAAAAAAATACCAATACGTGTAAATTAATTGGTTTACGTGACAGTTATAGTGTCTATAAATGGCGGTATATATACTGGAATTTTTTTTTTATACTAGTAATGGAGGCGATCAGCGACTTATAGCGGGACTGCGGCGGGCATTCTGACTCTAAGGTGGGAACTGACTAACTGCCACTGACATCCCCAGTGATACTAATACAGTGATCAGTGCTTATAAAAAGCACTGACCAGGGGCGGACTGACCATTTGGAAACTCAGGCACTGCCCGAGGGCCTGGGGTCAGTAGGGGGCCCCATGAGATGCCCCTGGTACCTTTTTCATAGGCTTTTTTGAGAAACGTTGCCTTGCTGTAACTATGTGATCGTTTATTAAAACTTTTGGACCCACATTGGTGATCCTCGGTGTGCTGGTGACATTCTTCCTTGCTGATTCTGTCCGGTTCCAGCCGATGGTCGCTGCAGCTCCCACTTACACACACAGCCATTTTTAATGCAGGAACGTGTGCATTTGGATTGTACACTTGCATCCTTTGTGGATTACGGTCCAAGAAGCAGTTTTATATCAATGCTGTCTACAGAACCACACAGAAGTGCGGTCATAGCCCTTTAAAGCAGAGTTCCACTCATGCTCTCAATCAGGGGTGGACTGACAACTCATGGGGCCCCTGGGCAATAGGGGAACATGGGGAACAAGTTTTAATAAACGATCGCATAGTTACAGCAAGGCAACGTTTTGGAGTCTTGCAGTACCCCTTCATCAGGCATTTGGTCACATGGGGCACCCCAGGCAATAGGGGATCATGGGGCCCCTGTGTCCTTGCCCAAACTCAAAAAAGCCTATGAAAAAGGTACCAGGGGCATCTCATGGGGCCCCCTACTGACCCCGGGCCCTCGGGCAGTGCCTGAGTTTCCAAATGGTCAGTCCACCCCTGCTCTCAATAAATAAAAGTCAGCAGCTACAAAAACTGTAGCTGATGACTTGTAAAAAACAGCCACTTACCTGTCCCTCGGTGCTGCGGTGTGTCCCCGCAGCCCGTTTCACTGGCCATCCTGTATTCCTGGAGGCCGGCATCTTCAGTGTGGGCACCCGGCTGTGACAGCTTGCAGCTTCAGTAGTGCTGAGCTTCATTTATGGTCCTGTAGTCTTCTGGAACCTGACACGTGTCCCAAATGACTACAGGGAGGGAGGACACCTTCTGCTTCCAGTCGCCTAGGCGATCGGATGGGACGTGGAAACTGTCAAACCCAGGCACCTACTCCCCTCCCCCCCCCCCCAAAGGTGCTAATCCTTAATGGGGAGCAGTCCTTAAAGCAGAACTTCTCCTTTTTGGGTGGAGCTCCACTTTAAGGACATACAACATCAAAGATTTCACAGGAACAGGACACAAAATACAATGTAACATTTTGTATTATATTAACCTTTTACTTCTCTGTCTCCTCAGGGGCCTGTGTTACAATTCTCTGGATTTGTGTGACAGGTGAGTTACATACATGCTTTTGAGATGGTGCTAATCATTCCATGCTCTATGATCAGGACCATGTTAACGCACACTTCATCTTTTTAAAGCCTCTAACAGTCAATAGTACATACCTTAAAAGAGAAGTAAAATACCATATGGACCGTAAATAAACTAAGTGCAATACAGTAGGCAATAGATAAGTATTAATATTACTATACATGTAATAAATAAATAATAATAACATTCAGTCCCAATTTCATGCGAATAAAGTGCCCAGGTGTGGAATCCTTAATGGTGAGCTTCATACAAAATGACAGATGCTCCACTGTGCTAACTAAAAATTCATGTTGCAGCATCATATTTCCCCCTAAAAAAGTCTGAGGAAGGTCTGAATTCCTGTGACCTGTTCAGCTCAGTGACATAAAAAATACTGAAGCCTTTGAAAAAGTAGGAGATCCATAAAGTTAGCATTTTCAAAAGTACAACTTGGCAATTAAGGCCTTTTTATATTTCCTGTAAGCATTAATGTGCACTTTCATGTTCTATTTCAAATTCCTCTTTATGCAATGAAATAATGCCTTAGACCCAGGATTTCCAGACTGTAAGGTCACCTGCTGACTTGGCACCATCCATGAGCAGCTTAAATCTTCTTTAAGACACAGTAGTTGAATACAATGCAATTTAATTTCACACATTTGCAATACAGAAGATTTTTTTTTTGAAGTGAAGAAACAGGGAGAGTCTACTAACTAGCACTTAACAGGAGGGGAGAGACCAAAATCACATTGTAAACAAGTTGCCCTGGACCAGAACCGCTACTAGATGTCAGCATATTACAGAACAATAATAGCCTGATGCAGTTCAATACTACATAGAATGAATACAAATAAGTGGGACCGAACATTTCGCGCTAACAATGCTTTCTGTTTTAATAACGGTTAGGGGAAATTTGGGATTGTTAGTTATTCTTGGTGCTGAAAATGTTAATAGGTGAAAACCGATATTATTTGCACATAAAATATGTTTTTTTTTTTTTTGCACATTTTTTTAATGCTGAAAAGAAATGTAAAAATTAATTTAAAAAAACTTTACATAGCAAAGGTAAAAATAGCAAAAAAAATCATCAGAAAAAAAATACCTAAAGGAGGAAGGAGTTAATTATTACTTATTAGGGTTGACTGCCGCTTAATAGTCACTTACAAGTCAACTTGTAAGGTTTCTTTAACTGATGTAATTTACAGTTTAAAGGTCACATCTTTGATCTATAGCTGAATGAAATAGTAAATACAATGTAACAATAAACTGTTACATTGTATTACTATATGACATTTGCAGATTATATGCAACAGTCATGTTACACAGGAGCAATTAGATTTTGACAGCTGCTACTCCTATGTAAAAACATAGCAATTCCAGGCTGTCATTTTGATAGCAAGTAATTTCGGGTAATAGTGACAGGGGTTCAGTGACAGAATGAGAGGGGCTGAACTTAGGAGATATACCATAAAAACCTTGCTGTGTAAAATCCTCAAATAGTTAAAGCTCTTTTCCTACTTGTTAAAGTGTTACTAAACCCAGGACCCTGCATTCACTATATCTGGTCTCCCTGGACCCTGCATTCACTATATCTGATCTCCCCGGACCCTGCATTCACTATATCCGGTCTCCCCGGACCCTGCATTCACTATATCTGGTCTCCCAGGACCCTGCATCCACTATATCTGGTCTCCCCGGACCCTGCATCCACTATATCTGGTCTCCCAGGACCCTGCATCCACTATATCTGGTCTCCCAGGACCCTGCATCCACTATATCTGGTCTCCCAGGACCCTGCATCCACTATATCCGGTCTCCCCGGACCCTGCATTCACTATATCTGGTCTCCCCAGACCCTGCATTCACTATATTCGGTCTCCCCCGGACCCTGCATTCACTATATTCGGTCTCCCCGGACCCTGCATTCACTATATCTGGTCTCCCACAGTACACAGAACATGGAAATGCAATTATTTTAGTAAATATAAACTGCTAAATACCTTTTCAGCAGTTAGAGCAGTCCTGTGACTTCTATCAGTGTCCAGCAGAGCACCAGTTAAAACTTGTAGGAGGAGTTCTCCCCTGATTGTCCTATGAGGCTGCATGACCCCTGATGCAGGGTCCTGGGAGACCAGATATAGTGAATGCAGGGTCTGGGGAGACCAGATATAGTGAATGCAGGGTCCTGGGAGACCGGATATAGTGAATGCAGGGTCCTGGGAGACCGGATATAGTGAATGCAGGGTCCTGGGAGACCAGATATAGTGAATGCAGGGTCCTGGGAGACCAGATATAGTGGATACAGGGTCCTGGGAGACCAGATATAGTGGATACAGGGTCCTGGGAGACCAGATATAGTGGATGCAGGGTCCTGGGAGACCAGATATAGTGGATGCAGGGTCCTGGGAGACCAGATATAGTGGATGCAGGGTCCTGGGAGACCAGATATAGTGGATGCAGGGTCCTGGGAGACCAGATATAGTGAATGTAGGGTCTGGGGAGACCAGATATAGTGAATGCAGGGGGTCTGGGTCTTTAGTAATACTTTAACAGCATACACATGGTTTTTTGAGATATTTACTGGCACATTTTCCACTCTGTTAAATACCGCACAATCATCTTTTTTTTTTTCAGTGAATTGGACATTTTTTACCACATGATAATTTTGCAAATGAGTCATGTGACCATGTTATCACATGCTATAATCTTTAGTGAATTGACTCCAATATATCTAAAATGAACCAAAAATCATTAGACTTTCAATTTCAATTATGTTATGCAAAATTCAACAAGCACAATGGATGCAGGCGGAATATGCTGTAAGTGGTGACCTGACTCTTCAACAGACAGTACATAAGGAAAGTATTCAGTGTGTTGTATTGTAAGTCATTCATCACTTCTTTCTCTTCGGTATTGTAGGAATTCGGTACCTACCTGACAAAGCTCTTCATTTTACCAAGTGCTTCCCAACTTCAGATGACTGCCCTAGTAATTCTTCTTGTGTGGAAACCAAGAATGGATACTACTGTGCATGTGATAAGGGATTCTACAATGACAAAGACCGACTGACAATCACATACCCTGGAGGACAGTGTACTGGTAATGTACTACAATCTGTAAACTGATGGCTTGCATTTGGAGAGGAATTCAACTGGTTTAAAGCAGAACTATAGGAAAAACGTTTTTTTTTTTTCATTTTGGATAGAGTAAGGGAGGGTTATAACCCTGACAGTTTATTTTTTGCCATCTGTGTTCCAATATTTTCAAATTATAAAGGAATTCCCTGGTGAACCCCAGGTCACCAGAGCTAGTGCCCCCATTGGAAAATGTCCCCTCTATTACTTTTCTGGGGACAACCAAATGATAATGGTAAACAGGACACAGACCGCAATATAAACCTAATAGGCGCTTTAATCCCTCTCCACCAGGGGCGGACTGACCATTTGGAAACTCGGGCACTGCCCGAGGGCCCAGAGTCAGTAGGGAGCCCCAAGAGATGCCCCTGGTACCTTTTTTCATAGGCTTTTTTGAGTTTGGGCAGGGACACAGGGGCCCCATGATCCCCTATTGCCCGGGGGCCCCATGAGTTGTCAGTCCGCCCCTGCTCTCCACTCTATCCAAAACAACAAAAAAAAGTTTTGCCTTTAGTTATATTTTACGTTTAAATGTTTTTAAGCTGAAAGTATAACTAAAGGCAATAGTCAAGTAAAAGAACATCCCAAATTTTGGTGAGAACAAAGGACGTCCGATCGGCTGAACTCCAAACAATCCACTTTATTGAACCAGGATAAAACCAATACAAACAGTGGAAATACAGTGGGGGACTGGCAGGTAAACGCGTTTCACACTAAGGGCAGCGCTTATTTGTTACCCCTAAATTACCCCTGGTAATGAATAAGTGCTGTCTTTAGCATGAAATGCATTTACCTGCCAGTCCCCCACTGTATTTCTACTGTCTGTATTGGTTTTATCCTGGTTCAATAAAGTGGATTGTTTGGAGTGCAGCCAATCGGACTTCCTTTGTTCTCATCTATGCAGCACACGAGCTGGGCTAGCACCTACCGGAGGAGTTGTGCTTGGAAACTGGGAGTCTCTCTACCTTGAACAACGGTAAACATATATTCCAAATTTTGGTTTGTCCCCATAAAAGTGATAGTAGGGAAATCATCCAATGGGGTCACTAGTTCTGGTCCCCAAGGGATTCCCTTAACTTGCAGGGATTATATCTCAATTCCTTTTTTGGCATGGACAGGAAGTAAAGGAAAATCTCCCCAACAGAAAGCAAAAAGTAAACTGACAGGAATTATAACCCTCCCCTACTTTATCCAAAATGAACAAAATGCCTATAGTTCTGCTTGAAGTTTTATATATTTTTTATTGTACTTATAATCAATTAGCAGAAATGTGCACATTCCAGAACAAGGCAAGGTAGGGGTGGTAAAAGTCTGGAAGAGGGAGGGAAATTTGTATATAAATTGTACTTGTTTATCTACAGTCTTCTCTTCTTTACATCCATTCATAAAACTCCAGAATTTATAAAGCTTGTCTGAAAAGGGGGTAGAGAGCTGAAATTGCACACTGTAGAGCTCTGAGAGCTCTTTGGAGGGAAGAGACGCACCCCCCTTCACAAAGCAGACCAGAATAGAGCTGAGGCTGCCATTCTGCTGAAGCTCCCTCCCGTGTCACCATTTTTCTCTTGGTGTCAGGTAACCTTGTCAGAAGGGTTTCATGCTGATAGCAGAGGAACGAGGCAGCAGGCAGAAATGACACTTAGTGCTCTGGATAGAGACAAGTACACACAATAGACGGATATACTTTGTTCATATTTCATGTCTGAGGTTCACAATATTTTCTTGTTGGTATTTTTTTTAAATAAAATAATGAAAATGTTATACTTACCTGCCCTGTGCAATAGCTTGCACAAAGCATTCCCAATCCTCCTCTTCTCAGGGCCTCCACCTGAGCTCCTGGCTCCTTCTCTTTGGCGACTGCCCACATAGGAGGCTGCTTCCTATAGTGACACTTGTACGGGCTGCATCCAGAGACATCAGCTCCCATGTCATACGTTTTGATTGACAGCAGCAGGATCCAATAGCTCCCACTGCTATCAATCTATCCTGTGGAGAGGAATAAAAAGGATAGCCACTGCTCTCGTGCACATCGCTGGATCAAGATTGGGCTCAGGTAAGTATATGGGGGGGCTTTGGAGGGAGCTGGATACAGAAGTATTTTCACATTCATGTATAGAATGGATGATGGTAATACAACTTCAGCCTTTAGAATCACTTTAAGGAGAACCATTCAGGAATGGGCAGTTCTGTCGAACTGGCTGAATACACACAGACTGACTGTTGGCCTATTGAACCTGTTGATACACACAATATTCGCATTGTGTGTACTTAAGGGTTCAATCACCAATATAAATACTAAGGGAGACAAGGGACATCCCTTTCTCCTACCTTTGTAAATAATCAGTGGTTTCGATTTAAAGATTTTCTTGTTTCCCGGTGGGATATAAAAGCTTCTCTTACTCCTCCTGTCCAGTACCACTGGAATTGGTAGTAGTGGTTTAGAGGGCAAGAAGTAGCACGTTTCCTGTGAGCAGATCCAGAAGCAGCACCTAATGATCTGGACATGATATGAGCACTGCTGAAGTGTGGTTGTAAAGCTGACTGGTTGCAGATCAAACATAGAAACATGTAGAAGTTGGATTGTAATCAGGGATGAGAAGGCTTCCGCAACAGCAGGAGGGGGTACCGGTTCAGTAGGCAGAGCCATAGTCAAAGTCCAGGCCAAGGTTAAGATCAAATGGGCAGCTAAGGTAACAAGTTATCACACAAAAGTAAAGTTGAGATCTCAAGCCAGGCTCAGCAATACTAGGTACAGGTCCAAAAAAAAGTTAGGAGAAAAGCTGGAATGTGCATGGAAGATCAGAAGTGCAGGTCAGGTCACAGGGATAGCTCAGGAACTTCTCTAGACAATTCTGAACTTTAAATCGGCTGTTTTTACCAGTGCTAATACTGAACAGGCATGCTTCACTCAGTTTCATCACACTTTCAGGGCACAGAGTAATTCAAAAGACTTTCTTACAAAGGATTACATGTTATCAGGAAAACCGCATACATATGAGCAGGTGCAGAATCACCATGGGCATTACTCATACCCAATGTGTGGATGCATGAGCATGCACAGGCCCCTAGCTGGCTATTTCAATGGGTCCTTGTCTTTTTGTCTACTACATGCCCTGTGTAACGTTCTACCGTTTCCAGCATTTGATCCTCAGCTGTGGACCTGCTCCTGACCTTGCCTGAATGCCACCTGCACTGACCCTTGACCTGTCCGTGGATTACACTTTTGCCTGCTCCCTCTGATTATCTGCCTACCGTTACAGACCCCCGCCTGACTCCTGACTACTCTTCTGCCTGCCATCTGCACCTGATCTGTGTGCTAGCTACTAACCTGGACTGCCTGCCTCTGCTTGTGGACTTTTCTTCTGTATCTGTGCCTGCTAACCTGTGCCTGACTCCAATGGTGTATTTAGGTCTTGTGCTGCCCTAGGCAACACAAAAATTGGACCCCCCTTGACAAACACCAGCCCTACCCCCCCCGCGCGGAGAGAGCCTGACAGCGATCACGATCAACAACACCCCTGCCGCATCCCCCCCCCACCCGAGAGAGCCTTCCACAAACACACACACCCCCCCCCGGCGAAAGACAGAGACACTTACCTTCACAGCTCTGGACATCCCTGGGAGCAACAATCAGCCTCTGCATACTTCAAGCAGCCCTCAGCTTCTCTCGCATCCCACCTGGTCCCCATGCTGCATATATTCTTTCTTCCAGGGGGGCAGTGCTGCCCCCCTAAAAAAATGCCACCCTAGGTAAATGCCTTGTTTGCCTTGTGGTAAATACACCCCTGCCTGACAAACTGTCCAGTCTACCTGCCAGTGATCATCTGGTCTGTCATCCCTGCTGCCTCTGGGATGTACAGCCAGTTTATCATCACCCGCCAACAGAAGAGTTATCAGGCACTCATGCCACTCTGTGCCTTGTCACTCCCATTACCTTAAATAAATACCAAATGGACCACACATAAGCCATGCAAATAATAGAAACTTAGTGACAATAAGTAAATAACTTGCGACATTCAATAAACATTTATTATACTGGTAATAATAATTCAGTCCCAGTATGTGAGACTAAAGTGCAAAGTGCTCAATTCTTGATTCTTAACTCCGTATATAGTGACTGGTGCTCCACTGTGCTCAGACCAGTTCCCCACATGGACTTGCACTCACCGTCATCCCATGACCACCTATCTCTAGGATGGTCATTTGTGCTTTTGGGACTATCCCAGTATGCATCTTTGCTAATGTTAACTGGTGTTCCTTCAAAGGGGCTATGTCAATGCCAAAATTCCTCCTCTCCTCCACAGACTATAAATGCAAGTATTCAGCATATGAATAAAAACAAAAATGGACATCCCATAGTTTAAAACCGTTACCACTTTTACCCTCCTGGCGGTATTCCT